TGGCTCAAACCGTTTAGGAATTAGGGGCAAAAAAGGGGGAAAAACAAGGTTGTCCAGGTTAATGGACAAATACTTTAGTACAAAACATAATTTAAAGCAGTGTAAGGGAGATAAATCAAATACATCATTGAAATTATCTCCCTTACACTGCTTTTAAATTATGTATAAAGTAATGGTTAATGAACAATAAAGATAATCTAAAACAGTGTAAGGGAGGTAATCCAAATACAACGTTTTGGTTACTTCCCTTACACTGCTTTTAAATTATGTTTAAAGAAATGCATATTTATAAAGGAAGACCAGTAAAAATATCTGCAAATGTTTTCATCTTTTTTTTTTACAAAAAAATCCATATGAAAGATTTGACACTATATTTTTATTAATTCTATTATAAAATAGATTAAGTTAGCACTATGGTAAATTTAAATGGGTAATTATGGTTGCCAACTCCATTGGAAATTTGAATTGAGATTATGACCATATCTTGAGGGAAAGAATTTTTTTGGGGGAAAAAGGGGGGGGGGGATAAAAAGAAATTGTGGGGGGGCCAATTTTTTCTCATTTCAGATTTCAGAAATTAAAAAGAATTATTCTTCAAATATTATTTTTTTTTCAAATTTCAAATATTGAAAAATTTCAAGAAGTAATCTTTAATTGCAGAGTATGGCGCATTAGATTTGTAAAATCTTTGATCACATTTATTTATTTGTTATGCCGAATCTAACAGTGGATTTAGATTTTTAATTTTGGGTCCAGTTTTCAAATTGGTCTACATTAATGTCCAAAGGGTCCAAAATTAAACTTTGTTTGATTTTAGCAAAAATTGAATATATGAGGTTCTTTGATATGCTGAATCTAAACATGTATTTAGATTTTTGATTTTTGGCCCAGTTTTCAAGTTGGTCCAAATTGGGGTCCAAAATTAAACTTTGTTTGATTTCAACAAAAATTGAATATATGGGGTTCTTTGATATGCTGAATCTAACCATGTATTTAGATTTTTTATTTGTGGACCCCGTTATCTAATGGTTCATATTGAGGTCAAAAGGGTCCAAAATTAAACTTTGTTTGATTTCATCTAAAATTGAATTATTGGGGTTCTTTGATATTCCAAATCTAACCGTGTATTTAGGTTTTTAATTTTGGGTCCTGTTTTTTAAATTGGTCTACATTGAGGTCCAAAGGGTCCAAAATTAAACTTAGTTTGATTTTGACAAAAATTGAATTCTTGGGGTTATTTGATTTCCTGAATCTAAACATGTGTTTAGATTTTTGATTATGGGCCCAGTTTTCAAGTTGGTCCAAGATAGGGTCCAGTATTTAAACTTTGTTTGATTTCAACAAAAATTGAATATATGGGGTTCTTTGATATGCTGAATCTAAACATGTATTTAGATTTTTGATTATGGGCCCAGTTTTCAAGTTGGTCCAAATTGGGGTCCAAAATTAAACTTTGTTTGATTTCAACAAAAATTGAATATATGAGGTTCTTTGATATGCTGAATCTAACCATGTATTTAGATTTTTTATTTGTAGGCCCCGCTATCAAATTGGTTCATATTGAGGTCAAAAGGGTCCAAAATTAAACTTTGTTTGATTTCATCGAAAATTGAATTATTGGGGTTCTTTGATATGCCAAATCTAACCGTGTTTTTAGATTTTTAATTTGGGTCCCGTTTTTTAAATTGGTCTTCATTGAGGTCCAAAGGGTCCAAAATTAAACTTAGTTTGATTTTAACAAAAATTGAATTCTTGGGGTTCTTTGATATGCTGAATCTAAACATGTGTTTAGATTTTTGATTATGGGCCCAGTTTTCAAGTTGGTCCAAGTTGGGGTCCAAAATTAAACTTTTTTTGATTTCAACAAAAATTGAATATATGGGGTTCTTTGATATGCTGAATCTAACCATGAATTTAGATTTTTTATTTGTGGGCCCCGCTATCAAATTGGTTCATATTGAGGTCAAAAGGGTCCAAAATTAAACTTTGTTTGATTTCATCAAAAATTGAATTATTGGGGTTCTTTGATATTCCAAATCTAACCGTGTATTTAGATTTTTAATTTTAAGTCCCGTTTTTTAAATTGGTCTACATTAAGGTCCAAAGGGTCCAAAATTAAACTAAGTTTCATTTTAGCAAAAATTGAATTCTTGGGGTTCTTTGATATGCTGAATCTAAACATGTGTTTAGATTTTTGATTATGGGCCCAGTTTTCAAGTTTGTCCAAGTTTGGGTCCAAAATTAAACTTTGTTTGATTTTAACAAAAATTGAATATATGGGGTTCTTTGATATGCTGAATCTAACCATGTATTTTGATTTTGGACATTGGACCATAATAGGTAAATTAAAAAAATTCAAGTTCTTAGACCACATTCTTTCTGTGTCAGAAACCTATGCTGTGTCAAATATTTAATAACAATCCAAATTCAGAGCTGTATCAAGCTTGAATGTTGTGTCCATACTTGCCCCAACTGTTCAGGGTTCGACCTCTGCGGTCGTATCAAGCTGCGCCCCAGCGAAGCATTTTATTAGATTTTTAATCGGGTCCCGTTTTTTAAATTGGTCTTCATTGAGGTCCAAAGGGTCCAAAATTAAACTTAGTTCGATTTTAACAAAAATTGAATTCTTGGGGTTCTTTGATATGCTGAATCTAAACATGTGTTTAGATTTTTGATTATGGGCCCAGTTTCCAAGTTGGTCCAAGTTGGGGTCCAAAATTAAACTTTTTTTGATTTCAACAAAAATTGAATATATGGGGTTCTTTGATATGCTGAATCTAACCATGAATTTAGAATTTTTATTTGTGGGCCCCGCTATCAAATTGGTTCATATTGAGGTCAAAAGGGTCCAAAATTAAACTTTGTTTGATTTCATCAAAAATTGAATTATTGGGGTTCTTTGATATTCCAAATCTAACCGTGTATTTAGATTTTTAATTTTAAGTCCCGTTTTTTAAATTGGTCTACATTAAGGTCCAAAGGGTCCAAAATTAAACTTAGTTTGATTTAAGCAAAAATTGAATTCTTGGGGTTCTTTGATATGCTGAATCTAAACATGTGTTTAGATTTTTGATTATGGGCCCAGTTTTCAAGTTTGTCCAAGTTGGGGTCCAAAATTAAACTTTGTTTGATTTTAACAAAAATTGAATATATGGGGTTCTTTGATATGCTGAATCTAACCATGTATTTTGATTTTGGACATTGGACCATAATAGGTAAATTAAAAAAATTCAAGTTCTTAGACCACATTCTTTCTGTGTCAGAAACCTATGCTGTGTCAAATATTTAATAACAATCCAAATTCAGACCTGTATCAAGCTTGAATGTTGTGTCCATACTTGCCCCAACTGTTCAGGGTTCGACCTCTGTGGTCGTATCAAGCTGCGCCCCAGCGAAGCATTTTATTTTTTGATGAAGTAAATTATAAACTCCTTTAAAAACTAAGCTTATATTGTCTATTAATAAACATATATTTAGATTTCTGATTTTGGGCCCAGTTTTCAAGTTGGTCCAAATTGGGGTCCAAAATTAAACTGTGTTTGATTTCAACATAAATTGAATATATATAGGGTTCTTTGAAATGCTTAATCTAAACCTGTGTTTCTTTTCATTATTAATAAGATAATACCACATTGAGGTCCAAAGGGTCCTAAATTACACTTTTGATTAATTTCATCAAAAATTGAATTCTTTGGTTCTTTGATTTGCTGATTCTAGCAATGTTTGAGTGTTAAATCATATCTAATTTTAGAGAACTTAGTCATCACTGGTTGTTGTTATTATATTATTGATTATAATTTGAAAAATTGCATCATATCTTATTTTAGAGAACTATTTATCCAGTTTGAGTTATTTCCCTTTGCATAGAAAATGTTATGGATAAAATTAACCTGTGTTTCATTTCAACATAAATTAAATATATATAGGGTTCTTTCAAATGCTGAATCTAAACCTGTATTTAAATATTAGATTTTTGGGCCCAGTTTTCAAGTTGGTCCAAATCAGGGTCCAAAATTAAACTTTGTTTGATTCAACAAAAAAATTATTTATGGGGTTCTTTGAAATGCTGAATCTAACCATGTATTGAGAGATTTTTGATTGTGGGCTCCTTTATCAAATTGGTCCACATTGAGGTCCAAAGGGTCTTAAATTAAACTTTTGTCTGATTTCATCAAAAATTGAATTCTTGGGGTTCTTTGATATGCTGATTCTAATATGTACTTAGATTTTTGATATTGGACCATAATAGGTATTTAAATGTCAAATTTCAAGTATTACAGTTCTTAAAACACATTCATTTTGTGTCACAAACCTTTGCTGTGTCAAATATTCAATCACAGTCCAAATTCAGAGCTGTTTTAAGCTTAAATGTAGTGTCCATACTTGCTCAACTGTTCAGGGTTCGACTTCTGCAGGAAAATCCAGTTTGCTGTCACTCTGACAGCCTCTTGTTACCTGGTCTTTTAAAAAATTCTCGCTTCAGGGTACATTCTCTTGCTTCGGAAAGAGCTACAGTAGCTACAAATAAGTTTTCAATTTCCACTACCAAAAAAAAAAAAAAACAGTGTTGTCTCCCTGGAAACATGTATATTTAATATAATTTTTAAATTTACTTTAATCATAAAACATGTTCAACCTGTTTTAATTGAAAGCTAGCTTACTAATTCTTACCATAAAATACAAAAAACATGATACTTTTTCACCAATTATGTAAATAAAAAGGGATTTCCCTCCATGGCTATTTTAAGTCGGGGGGGGGGGGGAATAACCCCTAGTTTTTTATACGAAACTGTTTATAGCACCCATTATTTTGAAAACTGTTATAAGTAGAGAAATTCTGATGGGGGCGAAAATGTTGACACTAAAAAATGTAATAAAAACTATGTTTACTGTCATTTTGACACCCTCTTGTTTTAAATTGAAGTCGGTTGCTAGGTAATAAAAAAGAATAGACATAGATATAAAGGAAGTTGAAATGGTAACTGAGCTTTTTATTTCAGGCCACCTACAACTGAAACAACGAACATCAATAACATCTTTGTGGACAATAAAGAATATCCAAGTAAGAAAATAAGTAATGAACTACATTTGCAAGCAATTAGTCTTTTACATTTCTATTCTGTAAATCTTAGATTTATTATACTCCCAACTCGAGGGGGAGGGGTATATGGTGATATACATAAATGTCTGTCCGTTCATCTGTTTGTCTGTTGCAAGTTTTCCCCCCAATATCAATGTTGATTAATTAAAAGTATGTTTTTTTTTTATAAATTCTAAAGCATTATCAAAGAACATAAAATACAGGTCAAGTTTCGATATTGATGGATTTGATATACTGTAAAAGTCATATGAAAAAAGTTTCTTGTAACTATAATGTTATGGAAATTATTGAACCAATGCATTTATATATACTAAACTTGGTCTTCTATGCATGATTTTATGTCCCCTGCGCAACGTGTTGCAGGGGACATAGAAATAATCAGCGTCCGTCTGTCCGCTTGTCCATCCGTCCGGTCTTGTTAGCGCTCTCAGATGTACAATTCTTGCCAGATTTTTATAAAACTTATATCATAGGTTTAAATCAGGGATGTCTCGGACGAGTTAAAAAATCAGTGCAGATGCACTATTTTTATATGGTTATATAGTTTTACTGTGACAACTTACAGATCAAGCTAGAATATTGTTCTGATCTGATGATTTTGTGCAGAGTTATGTTCCTTGGATTTAGAAAACTCGTCTTGCCCAGCATAATTATTAAGTCTCCCAAACGAAGTTTGGGAAGACTTATTGTTTTTGCTCAGTTCTTATTATTATTATTATTCTTCTTCCTCTTCCTCTTCCGCCGCTTTTAAATTTGAACTTGTCCGCACCCGTTCTCCAAAACCGCTTGTCAGATTAACTTAGGATTTCACAATATGTTAGACTAACATGTCTAGTGGTGCAATCAGGGTTTTGTTTGTGCAATGGGGTTTACAAAGGGGTATTTTGAGGGGCAAAAAGAAAAGAGGGTTTTACTATAGAACCCTATGGGATTTTATTTTTTAAAATTTTCAAATGATTATAAATTGAAAACCGTTTGTGATAGACACAATCTTTTTAATTGAAAATGTTCTAAATGATGAAACCCATTAAATGAAATACAGGGTTAGTCCCCAGGGGTCACCCCCACCCCTGCCATTTAAGAAAGTTCTAATACCTTGTAAGTGGTCAAGATCCCCACCCCTAAACCATATATATTCTGGTTTGTCATGCTAAGATGGTTTGAATGATATACAGGGTTAGTCCCCAGGGGTCATCCCGACCCCCTGCCATTTGAGAAAGTTATAATATCTTGTAATTGGTCAAGATCCCCACCCCTAAACTATATATATTCTGGTTTGTCATGATAAAGCACATGAAACGAAATACAGGGTTAGTCCACAGGGGTCACCCCCACCCCATGCCATTTAAGAAAGTTCTAATATCTTGTAAGTGGTCAAGATCCCAACCCCTAAACCATATATATTCTGGTTTGTCATGCTAAGATGGTTTGAATGATATACAGGGTTAGTCCCCAGGGGTCATCCCAACCCCCTGCCATTTGAGAAAGTTATAATATCTTGTAAATGGTAGAGATCCCCACCCCTAAACCATATATATTCTGGTTTGTCATGATTAAGCAAATCAAATGAAATACAGGGTTAGTCCCCAGGGGTCACCCCCACCCTATGCCATTTAAGAACGTTCTAATATCTTGTAAGTGGTCAAGATCCCCACCCCTAAACCATATATATTCTGGTTTGTCATGCTAAGATGGTTTGAATGATATACAGGGTTAGTCCCCAGGGGTCATCCCGACCCCCTGCCATTTGAGAAAGTTCTTATATCTTGTAAATGGTAGAGATCCCCACCCCTAAACCATATATATTCTGGTTTGTCATGACAAAGCACATGAAATGAAATACAGGGTTCGTCCCCAGGGGTCACCCCCACCCCATGCCATTTAAGAAAGTTCTAATATCTTGTAAGTGGTCAAGATCCCCACCCCTAAACCATATATATTCTGGTTTGTCATGCTAAGATGGTTTGAATGATATACAGGGTTAGTCTTCAGGGGTCATCCCAACCCCCTGCCATTTGAGAAAGTTCTAATATCTTGTAAATGGTCGAGATCCCCACCCCTAAACCATATATATTCTGGTTTGTCATGCCAAGATGATTTGAATGATATACAGGGTTAGTCCCCAGGCATCACTAATGCATATAACTTTACTGGACCAAACCAATTTTCACTGGACTTTGCCCAAAGGCGACCCTGGGAATTACGAATTATGGGAGCTTCGTTTGGGAGACTTCGTAACAGCATCCTGTTACAATCATTTCTTGTTAACTATCAACTTTAATCAATCTTTTGATTTAGAAGGTGCTGATCTCTTCCATTGAGATCTCTTAAATTGACTGAATGATGAATTCTTGATTAAGGAAATGAAATTACATTAAAAAACAATTAAGTTCAATATTGTCAACCTTCTAGCTATTCTTTTGCTCATTCTTTGTATGAAGACTATCAAAAGATACCCCCAAAAAAACAGAAACAATGGCCATCTTTTCCCTCAGAGCTCTCAAGCTCTTTGATTATCTCACCTGTGATGAAAGTGGAAGTATTCGAGACATAGGGATTACAATCTAGCGGCACTGCCGCAGCATAAACTATTTGTATATTTCAGAAGGTAGAAGACCTGGATGCTTCATTCCTTGTATGCAGATACATTATGTTATGAAGTTTCCGTATGTCAATTGTCCTGTCCTTTGTCCTTAATTTCCATGGTTCAGTGACTACTTGAAAAAAAAGTAAAGTTTTTTGTCATGTGAATTTCTCTTATTATGAGTAATAGGTATGTGCGTGCCTTGCAAGATCCTCATGCCTATCAGACTGTTTTCACTTGACCTTGACCTCATTTCATGGACCAGTGAACAAGGTTAAGTTTTTGTGGTCAAGTCCATATCTCAGATACTACAAGCAATAGGTCTACTATATTTGGTGTATGGAATGATTGTAAGGTGTACATGTCCAACTGGCAGGTATCATCTGACCTTGACCTCATTTTCATGGTTCAGTGGTTAATGTTAAGTTTTTGTGTTTTGGTCTGTTTTTCTAATACTGTATGCAATTGGTAAACTATATTCAAAATTGGCAAAGTATTACCCGGACAAGAAGACCTGGGTGGGAAAACCTGAATTTTCCCGGGCTGGGCAATATGATTTTTCAAGCTTATTTTTACACAAAATAGTAAAGACTTGTTGTAGTTTAATAGTATTATAGCTAAATATATACATTTCATATAGATAACCATATGCATTGAGAGTCATTCCTGAAGAACAAAATTCAATTTCTTCCTCCACTAATTCTATGTAGGCAGAATACATATAAACAAATCTGTGTTATAATCTGAAAAAATTACTTATAAGTTAGTGATGTACATAAACATATGCTAAAACTTAGTAAACATTTTTAGTAATGAACAAAAAATGTTTAAAAAAGTAATTTTCCTTACATATGATTGTTAATTCTTATTAGTTATATTTATTAAAAAAAATTGAATTCTTCGACTTGAAGTCAACACTTTGGCCAATCTAGACAGTTGCTAATTAGATAGATTTTTAGGAGGATTATTAAGAAAAGCTTTTCACATTTGTCTTATGTGTCTTTATGTACACTTGTCTTAGTGTTGCTGAACCATTAATATTTTCTCTGATTTATACACTTTATATTAAGACTCTCAAACAAGGGAACTTATAAATTAAATTACTATATCTTATTTTTATAAAAATCTTAAATGTATAGCATTTGTGAGCATTTGTTATTAATCCTCTTTAAAATTCAGGCCAGTATTTCATATTACCCAGTATTGCCCGGTATTTCCCTGGTAAAACCCAGTTAAACCAAGGTTTTCCCAGTATTTCCCACTGGGCTGGGCAATACTCATAAAACTTGGGTTTTTGCCAATCCTGACTATATTTGGTGTATGGAAATATTCTACGATGTACATGTCAGTCTGGCATGTTTTATTTGACCTTGACCTCATTTTTTACGGTTCATTGGTCAATGTTTAGTTTTGTGATTTGGTCTGTTATTCTTAAACTATAAGCAATAGGTCAACTATATTTGGTGTATGGAATGACTGTAAGGTGTACATGTCTGTCTGGCAGGTATCATCTGATCTTGACCTCATTTTCTTGGTTCATTGGTCAATGTTAAGTTTTCCTGGTTAAGTTTGTTTCTTAGATACTATATGCAATAGGTCAACTATTATATATATATTTTAAATATGAGCAAGGGATTATCCAATATGATTTTCCTTCTGTGTGATTGTATCCCTAAAAATATTTTTAAAGTTTCTGCTTCTCGGTACCACACTAGTAATAATAACAACAATAACTTGTACAATATTTAATATCCCCGTCAATTTAAACAGACATGTGTCGGAAAGCCATCCACATGTTGTCTTCACAATATATATATAAAAAAATTATCCGTAACCATTTATACATCGTTATAAAAGAATTAGAGAGTCATATATCACTCAACAGTATCTTTAACCTCACAAAAGGGCCAACAGTATACTATCTTTTGTGCAGGGGTGTAAACTGTCAAGACTTGAAGTTAGTCATTCCCGAATAGTTCACTCTCAAATATCAGATAAATCGTGAGCTTTAATCCAAGAGTTGAATTTCTTGTGTAACCATTTCACATAGTATTGCTTGTTGGGTCTTTTGCCTCTGGTTTTCAGGATATTTTCAACGTTCCACATATTGTCTTCCTGAACATCCACTTTCTGCACATCTGATTGGTAGAAGGTTCCTGATATTTCTTCGTCTTGAAAATCACTAAGTCTATAAATTGGAAGCCCACCACGTAATATTCTTTGATATATTTTAAATATCTCTCCGCTCCACCTCTCATCGTATTCCCTAGTAATTTGATTTCTTATGTATGTAATCCGAACATTATCACCAATTTTGAAACAAAAGGTTTTCGTACATTCTTTGTCTTATGTTGAACTCTTTTTGGCCAATACATTT